CATATAAGAAGATTAGAACAAAACCACCGTTTCTTGCCTAACAAACATTAGAAATGGTTCGCAATTCAAATCATATTCACAATTCAGATCATAGAAACCCCAAAAGCTTGAAACTTTTCACATTGGCACCATTTCAACAGCCAAAAAAAATTTAAAAGACACACCACTAATGTTAAAAAAAATAAAAAATAAAATGTATTTCATAATAATAGAATAGTTGCAAATTCATCAAAATTCCATCCAGTCAAATGGAGTCAACGAAGTATTTTCCTGGAATTCCTAGTTAAAAACACGCAGTTCATCAATCCACGAAACCTGAACTTTGCTTAAAATTGATGAAAATTAAATTACTTGGCAGCCGCCCCCCTCTAGGCAGCAAGTTATTCCAATGCAGTTTTTAACTAACTTCTTATTAGTTACTCCAAGCTCTTAAATATGAGAGAGAGAGAGAGGACAAAATTTGTTGCTAAACAAACTCCTAATCACCAGGCAAACACATCTGCCAAACAAAATCCTAGTAACCCACGTCAGACCAAGTCCATAATTTAACCAAATTATCCAAACTTAGTCAAAGATTAACAAAGAGAAAAACTTTAACCATGCCATGAACACATCCACATATAAAAACCAGATTCACAAAACAGATTTTGAGCTGAAGGCACATTACCATCACATCAAATTGCTCCGGCTTCGAAACGAGTTGCATACAGCAATTGTCCACAATGATCTCATTGTAGTTAATACTTGGGTACTTTTTAGCAACCTCTCTGCATGACTCCAAGAACAACCCATCAGCTAGCTTCATAATGTTGGCTTTGTGCACAGCAGTCACCTTCTTCCTGTTGTTCAAATACGCGTACTCGAAAGCGTACTTGGCGATTCGCTCCGAGCAGAACTTTGTGATCACCTAACACAATCACAATCAATTCCCGATTTCTCACAAAATTGCAGAGCAAAAAAGATTGGATTTGAGTTTTTGATTACCTTGAGGCTTTCGACGACGCCGGGGACGACCTCGTGCTCAAGCCCGGCATATTCACCCTCGGTGTTCTCTCTAATTACGACAATGTCCACGTTCTCATGGCGGGTGGGTAGGCCGGGGAGGTTGAAGCAGTTGACTAGCGACGCGTACAGGTCGAGCTCTTTTCTCAGCTGGACGTTTAGCGAGCTCACTCCGCCGCCCATCGGAGTCTTCAGGCCGCCCTTCAAGCACACCTTGTTTTTCCGGATCGACTCGATCACCTCCGCGGGACCCGCTTCAGGTCGCCGTGGACGTCGTATCGCTCGAAGTACACGGGAGCGTGCATCGCTTCCATGACTTGCTCGACGGCGTTGGTGACAAGCGGGCCGATTCCGTCGCCAGGGATCAGGGTTACGGGCCGCGGGGCACCGTCTCCGGGTCGGGGCATGTAGGTGACGGATCGGGTGTTCGGGTCGGGTTTGGGAAGGAAGTGTGAGGGCGTGGGGCGGTGGGTGAGGTTTTTTAGGATCGGGAGGGTCCGACGGGCCATGGCTGAGTGTTAGGGTTTTGGGTTTTTTTGGAGGGAGGAGGTTGTCGGATTTGCGAAGGGTCGACTATTTGTTGCAGAGGAGTTGAAGTTGAGCGGGTGATTGACTAGCGAGGGGAATTAGAAAATATGAGAAAGTTGGAGGACTTTTTTACAATAATTCCACGTTCCAATTCGCGTTTCTGGGTATACCTTGGTGGAAACCTGTGTTATGTGGGACTGCCGGTCCCACGTCGTCTATACACCTTTTACAACAACTCGTTATAAGTGAGTAGTGAGTTCACTCACTTATAGTTTGAATTGAATTGGGTCAAAACCATGGACCTTAGGCCTTAGACAGTTGCATTCAGTTTTTTTTTTTTTTAAACAGTTGCATTCGGTTTTTCTTTTTAAAAAACTGATAAGCATGACCGGTTGTGTTTGTTCAAATTATGCCATTATATATATGGCAATAAAATCAGAAACAAAGTAATGAATTTCGTTTCCCTTCCCTCCATATTTCACAGAACCACACACAACCAATTCGCCAAGAATCCAAGTTCAAGTGCAAGAACTTGGATTAGATAGTTGTATCCTGCAAGATAGATGTCCATTGAACTGCTGCACTGGTGTAGAGACGAATTTCTGTCTTAGGAGATTGCTTCTGCAAGCCTCTATCGTCAAAGAAAAAGTCAGTGATTTGTGATTTTATATATAATTACACTAAGTGTTTATGTTTAATTGTTGTTGAGTTTTTCCGTTCGAAATAAAACTGTGCAAATTGTTGTATAATATATACTTAACTTTTGATTGGTTCTAACAGACCTAATTCTGTTGTCAAATTGTCCTAATAATTTCAGTGCTCCATTTTAGGGTATATGCCTAAATTTGTTGGGTTTATTTGTAAGCACACGCATTTTGACACACATTTTAGCATTACAAAATGAGTTCCGCTAAGTGTGTCAAAAATCTGTATTCTCCAGATTTTAACCCAAATTTGTTTAATAGTACTTTTCTCAATTTTTAAATTGAATCTTTTATTGAAAGTCATTTAGTCCTCACTAGTGTAGTGACCTTCTTTGTGAAAATTTGAAAGACTTTAGCCGAATTATTGAACCAAATAAACGATATTATCTACATTAAATATGGAAGGAGTAGGCTAAGCTTTATAATAAGTTTGTTATAATAATGGGGTTCAACTTCGTTTTTGGCAAAATTCGAACCTAAGACCTCTTAGGTACAAGTGAATGAGAATATCACTAGACATAATACTAAGTGGTTCAGAGTGGAGGAATATTAACAATTGAATACTAACCGACTCTTTTTTATTGATGCAATGATTAAAAACTAAATCATAAATAATATCAAACTTACTTCTATGAGATTTAAATCTAAAATCTCTTACTTTCACGTATCATTTTACATTTTACATGCATTTTTTCCACATCCTTCTCTTCACCCTCCTATATTCTTATTCATGCCTACGGAATAGGATCCTCTCCGGATCCTTTTTATGGGATCCGAATGATCAATCAATTAAGTCTGTTCATAGTACATCATGTGGTTAGAAATCATTTTGAATTTAAAATTTAAAATTGAATATAAATAATAATTAACAAAAACTGATTGTACGATATATGATAAACAAATACAATTGATTCATCATTAGATCCCCACAAAAAGGATCTGACGAGGATCCTCATTCCATGCCTACAATCAATCATGTCCTTTTAGTTCACGTAATGTCAATCTTTTTAACTTTTCACATGTTCACTATTCTTTGATAATCTTAATCAACCTTCACAATCGCAAATATGATTTAAGTCGCGTCAAGCGTAAAATATTTATCAAATAGACCGACACAATAGATGCAACAAACTAAGATAATTAAGGAGTTTTTTTTTTTTTTTTTTAACTAAGATAATTAAGGAGTTACAATTGAAGCTTGCGTCTTACCGCATACCAATTTCTATTCACTTATTTGAGAGGGTATATGGCACTTACAATGATCGGTGAGCGTACATTAAACACATGGAAGTATAGTACGTTTAATATTTTTTCACTTTCGAGCACTGGCCCCAATACTCAACAGATTCTCTTTGGATTCTTTTTGTGAAGATCTTGAAAATTCGGAAATCGTGTCCGCTTCTTCATATATCATGCGATCAGTTTTTGTTAGGTACTGTTTCTGTTTAATTTAAATAAAAAAAATTAAAGTGATTATGCATATGGCATGTAAATTTGTGGGTTGCAAAATTTTTTGGAACAAAATCAAATTATTCCGAGAATTTTGGTATATCAAACACATTAAGCTTTAAGCTTGAACTACCTAGACTGACCAAGTCCATGTTGAAATAATTCTTTAAAACAAGACTCCACTAGTTCTTTTTAGGGTGGGTTCAGTTTCATTCGGTTCAGTTTTTTGCCAAAACTGAAACCAAACCGAAACTTTGATTTTTTTCGGTTTTGTTTTGTTCAATTCAGTTTCGTTACAGTTTTGGTTTTTATTTATTTTATAAAACTTGATCTTTTTTTTAATATGGAATTTAGAAAAGAGATTTGCATTGGTATACTAATAATAAGAAACGGGGAAAGTGGAAAGTGGGAAGGTAGTGTACGAATAGAAGAACATATAAACCAATCTTATTTTATCAATAACCTCAATTGCACAGAAAAATGATCACCGTATCCATTCAAAAAGCAAACAAATGGAGAAGTTCTTCCAAGTTCCAAAACTTTCCTCTATAACCAATGATCAATCATTCCTAATTGAACCAAGTATGCTCCTTGAAAAAGCCCTAGGCTTAGTTTCAAATTTAGCAACAAAGTTTCACAAAAGAAATATCATGGGCATACATTCATAAAGTGTAAACGGATTCGGTTCTGTTTGGTTCTGTTTCCAAACCTCCGAAACCGAAACCGAACCAATAATGTTTGGTTCAGTTTGGTTTTTTCTTTTTCCGTTCCCCTTTTTTTTTTTTTTTTTCTTTTTTTTTTCCTTCAATTTTCGGCTTTTTGAACTCACCCCTAACTCTTTCCCTAATTGTATATCGTCTGCTATGGTTGTATAATTTTCTTTACAAGGCCGTTTGACAACCATTCACTTTTAGTTTTTACTTTTTACTTTTTTTTAAATTGATAACCCGTTTGGTAAGTAGTTTCAGATTTCAGTTTTTATAAAATAAAAAAAAGAAAAACTCAAAATTGAAAATTCAAGAAATTAGTTTTCTCTTTTAATTTTTTCTTTCTTTTTAAGCTAAAAGTAGTATTAAACGAGTTTTCAGTAAAAAAAGATGAACAAAAACTGAAAAATTCATAGTTATTTTTTAAAAGAATTTTGAAATATTTTGTTTCAAGAACTCAACTGAATATTGACATTCCGAAAATTTTTGGTTGAAATTGAAATGCAATTCTGATTCGCGAAAACTTTGGATTAGATTTGAAACACTTGGTTCCAATCCAATCCGTCCAACAGTCAGGCAAACACAGTCCAATGTTACTTCACATCTCTCGTTAAAAATCAAACCAATCTTTGGAAGAAATTAACATATCATATTTCAAAGTTGAGCTATTACAGAAACATCAATGAAAGGTAACATCAGTGAACTTTTTTCCAAGTTTCCAACCATACAACTTACACCTCAATGAAATACAAAACTTATGTGATTCTGAAAACTTCTGCCTGTAACAAAACATAAAACCGGTTTCTTCTTGATCCTGGCAGAAAGTTTTGACTAATCTCATACGGAACCACAGAGCATAGCAGTCCTTGTATTACTCGACCAAAAACATGCAACAAAATTATACAGATTCGTCCACATGATTTCTTAGCTTCTCAATATCGTCTTCTTTCAAGTGTAAATAACAACTAAACTGCAGGATTTACGCATCAATGAGTTGAAGCATGTGGAGGAGGAGGAGCACCACCCAATCCCATCTTTTGCCCCAATACTGCAAGCTGCTCCACAAACTCCTGTCCTGTGAGTATTTCTGTTGTTCCATATATAACATGCTTGACAGGCTGCTGACGCTGCGCAAGCTCTTGTAGGCTCCCATACTCCACATAATTACCACCACCAATCATGAAGACGATAGCTTCCTTGAAAGGTCCTTTTAAATGGCTGCTACCCATTCCTGAGCTTGACTTTGGAGCACGAGGATCAAAAACAAGGTAGGAATCAATTTCTGGATTCGGCCTCCCCTCCACCAAGGCCTCCACTGTTCTTGTCAGTGCTAGCTGCCTATCATTGGACAAAAGATTTTTCACACCTGCTGTCACAGCGCTTATTGATTGCCCATAGAGTTTCTCTGCCCAATCGACTATGTTGCTTCTGCTAGCAGAATTTGCTGATGCCAGTGAGACATTCAGTGCCTTGATCTTCTTCACATACTGAAATGCACTGGTATCAACCTCAGATTCCCTGAGGGCTGCTTCCACTGCTTCCACTTCCTGTTGATTAATGGCTTCAGAAGAAATAAGATACATGATAGAAAACCGCAGCTTATCCATCTTACTCCCCTTCCCTCTAAGCACACCTAAAAGCTCACTTCGATCAATGCCTCCTCTAACCATCATGTCATACTCCTTTTTGGCAAAAGAATCAAGCAATCTCTCTTTGATCTCACTCAACAACACAGTTGCAATGTTGGTGTGCTTATCAATCACCTGCTTCCGTGCGGTCAACTCTGGCAATGAGTTCACTGCACTCATCAAATGTTTTGTATTCCCAATCATGTCTGTTCCATCAAACTCAGCTCCATCATTCCCGCCAGTCCGTCTGTTGACCTCATCAACATCCCTCTTATACTTATTCAATTGGGTCTCAATCTCTACCGCTACTTCTGGAAATTCTAGAGACCCATTTGCTACCCAAAAGGGATCTGAGCTATCTAACTCATATGACTTCATCCCACCCTTTTCACCTTGAACATTCAACCTATTAAGCTTCAATCCAAGAATATCATGCACCAAGGGTCGGTACCTAAAATCATGCTGTATTCCCACAGATAACTCAAAATTACGATCAAATATACACAATATGGGGCGCTGGAAAGAGCTCACAAAATTTCCACCTTCCGTAAACAGATTGTTCTTTGACAACAAGTGGTCACGAAGTCTCTGATCCAACGCTGATGCTACCATCTCAGCTGGTCCACCGCAAGGGCACCTGATAATTGGCACAACAGCAAGCGTAGCCAAAACACAGAACAAGCCACCAACTATCTTTTCAATAATCTCCTCAATCTCACGGTCTCCTGCCTTGGGATCGTTTAACTGAACATAACTGTTCTTCTGTGCCAATGAGAACAAATTATCTTCCAGTGTCACAAACTCCAAATACTGATCATGCACCTTCGAAATCCGATGAATCGAATCTGAATTCAAAGTCCCAGATGCCAGGTCCTCAAGCAGAGGTCGAGGAATCAAGGATGAGAAGTTCAAATGGAAGCTATCATACAGCGAGTTGGAGGTGTCAGCAATGATCCTCTGAATGTTGGAATGGCTGGGCTGGACAAAGTAGACCGCAGGCACATCATGAACAGGTTTTCGGTCCTTGTCAATCAGGAAGTACAGGGTCACGCCGTGCTTACGGAGGTCCTTGACATGGATCAATGGGGAGAGAATGTTTTGACAAAACTTATCATAGATCAAGATCTTGTAGACCTCCTCGTTGGCCATACCGGTTGCATTAACGGGTTGGTTCAGATTCAGCATACGGGTAATACATTCTGAATACAGAAATCACAGGTCAAAATCAATAATTTACACAAATCCCAGAAAAATTATTCAAATTTAAGCAAGCTCAATTCAAGCAAAGCAAATGAATTTAGTCACAGTTCTCAAACCAAAATCACAGATCAAGCTCAACAAACAAAACCCTGATAAAATACACACATTTCATCCATTCCAATTGTAATTCCGGTGAAAATTCATCTGGGTTTTCTATATTAGCTAGATGGGTTCTCGATTTAATCCAATATTTTCAATTTTTGCTTCCTTGGTTTGGTTGATACACAGAGATCTAGAGAGAAACTAAAACGGTCAAAAGATAAATCACCTGTTTGCCTCTGCCGCAGATTGAGCGCCATGACCGTGAAATCTACGTTCTCCGGCGAAGCAAAGACTCACAGACTCACTCAGGCAACTTTTGGTTCGCTTCAAATTTTATGAATTTCCCAAACATCCCTGCAAATTTGAGGGTGCCGGTGATGTAAAAAGATGGCTATTCGTCTACAGCCGTTTCAAGGCTAAGAATTGTACTCTAGCTAATAGGAATTCGCCACGTCATATAAATACAGATGTAGTTATTTCATTGGTTGACCACGGAGTCTTAACCAATGTGATCTCATTGAAGCCTAGCAATAAAATCACATACCGTACGTGGAGGGTGTGTGAAGAGGGAAGGAGAGGAGTGCGGTGGCGGGGGGCGGTGTAGAGATGGCGGAGTTTCTGAGGAACAGATACTGGGTGCTGAGGCACGGGAAGAGCATTCCGAACCAGAGAGGCATCATTGTTTCTTCCATGGTTATTTTTTTCTCTTTCCCCCCTCAATTTTCCTTAATTACTTGTTTGGCCCTGCAAATTTTGAGTATTTTGAATTCGACACAGGAAAATGGTACCCGCCCAGAATATCAATTGGCGCCAGAAGGTGTAAGTCAGGCACAATCAGCTGGACAATCATTCCAAAAGGTATTACTTTCTGTTTTAAGATTTGAACTTTTTTGGTTTATTTTGAGTGCAATTTAGTTCACATTCGAAAAGTTTGAATCTTGTTAGTGCGCAAAATTATTGAATGATTAGGAAATGTGAATTAGAGTTTGAAAACTGGTAGGCTGGAAGATTTAACCGAAAACTGGAATGTCTATGGAAACGAAGAAATGGGAGCTTGAGTAGTTTGTAATGTGCAGGTACTTGAGGAAAACAACGTACCACTTGATAATGTTCGGATTTGCTACTCTCCGTTTTCAAGAACAAGTCAGACTGCTCAAGTTGTTGCATCTGTCTTGAACATTCCATTTGAGGGGGCTCAATGCAAGGTAAGATAGTCCCTGAAAATCGACCAAAAGAACGGTATCTTGGTTGATTTCTGATTGAGATAAGCTTGGTTGATCGATTATGCTAATTTAGATTTCAAACCAGTGATCTTTTCCCCTGGTTGCTTTTTCTGGACAGGTAATGGAAAATCTTCGTGAACGCTTCTTTGGTCCTTCGTATGAGCTTTTGTCACATGACAAAGTAAGTCCACTGGTGTTGGTGTGGTTTTTTTTTTCACTGATTAATGTGGCAGATTAAAGGCTTTGTCTATATTGTCGGGTTTATAGGTGGTGCTAACTTATAATCGTCTGTTGCTGATGCTGAGGCTGTCGTAATTCTGTTTTCCCTTTTGCTAGTAGTATCACGACATATGGGCTCTTGATGAGAAAGATCCACTCATGAGACCGGCAGAGGGAGGAGAGAGTGTTGATGATGTTGCGTGCAGACTTGCAGAAGCAATGGAAACTATGGAGTCACAATTTCAAGGGTAAGTGTATAAATACGCGTTTGGTATTCTAACATTGTAGTCATGTTTGCAATACTTCTATCTTAATTTCTAGAAACATCTTATTCTTATGTTTGACATTGCATATGATCAGGCACATTGGCATTGCAGAGACATGAAAGAAAACGTGTAGTTGTTGCTGTGGAACTTAAAAAGCCTATTTCTGAATAATTTCTACTTAAAAGAAAATAGAAACAGCCGTCCGCGTTTAAGAATTTTAGAATTAAGGATGAAAAACTTGTAACTGTAATTACTCAGTTTGTTTGCAGTTCTTGATAGATTATTTTTCAAGTGCGGTTTCTCAGTTAGCGATTTTCTCTGTTATTGTACAAGACCGTCGGTCTATCCAGCTGTGCCACGGCTTTCCTCTTTTAACTGCCATTAGGTTAAATTAAGTCATACCTTTTCTTGCCTGCGTATTATATCTGTGTGACTTTGTCTGTTACATATGTTCGTTCAATCTACAGGTGCACGATCTTAGTCGTTAGTCACGGCGATACCCTACAAATCTTGCAGACGATACTCAATGCTGCCAAGCTAAACGCGGGATCCAGTTACACTGACCTGTCATCAAGAATTCAAGCAGTTCGAACTCCTCCCATCTTATCACAGCACCGGAAGTTTTCTACTGCTTACAGCAGAGCTCCGGGCAGTGATATAAGTATTATCTGCGAAGAAACTTTCATCTTTCGTTTGTAATTTGTCAAAAACTAAGATTATGGATAGTGTTGGTTGTAATTGAAAAGGATTAAGTATATGCACAACTCAGCACGGTGGCTTTGCCTTGATTGACCATTTTTTGGATAGCAAAAGTCGATTTTTTAGTTCTCTTTGCGTTTGCTGCTCAGCCCTTCCCTCGTTCAAACTACCGAATAAGAAACGAAACTCGTTAAGAAATAATTCACCATCTCTGTAGCTATCATAAACTTGGACTGAACCAGCTCCTGCACATCGTTGGATCGCCAACGCTTGGAAAAGAGTGGAAGGAGATTGAGTCACCTTCTCTAACAAAAAGTTGAATTTTAATTTCAGCTGTTACAATTACCGTCCTCGACGTAAATGTGTAAATTACATATACCCTAACAAGACATTTCCTCTAACTTCGATGCCATTTACATTTTTTTTGCGCCCCTAACAAAAAAGAAGCCCCGAGGCGACAGTTGTTGCCATCCTCTATGAATTACAAAGAACAAAAAAGGCAACAGCTTCAGATGAAAATATCGACAAGCAAACAACAATGGAGAAAACCCACAGGCCACAGCATCCCATGAGACAATTTCCATGATCCTTCCTCAATCTTTGGTTACCCACCTACGGCCTCTGACCTGAAACCCACCATAACTCTGATCACTACCACTCTCTCCACCGCTTTCTGCACTGGTATATCCAGATTTGCGGCGATGCCTATTTGCCCTTGCAACCCCACTGTCACTCATGCTTCCGTTCAAGAGAGGGTCATCTATCCCACGAATCACCTTCCGTGTAGGTGATGTGGATATACAACTGTCATCCCTTGTCTTTCGTTTCTCCTTGTCATGTTTCTTAATGTTTTCGGAGATCTTGTGTAGCTTCTCATTGAACCTGGTGAACCCCTTTTCCACTGGCTCTACTGCCTGTGTAACTGTGAACTTCACATCTTGCACAATCTGTATTTGAGGCAAAGAGCAGATTCAGAACTCAAAACTGAAGAATCATACACCATGACCCACAATCAACTGGTTTCATGTAGATACGACTTTCTTTCAGTTCAACAGATGGTTGGCGAAATGTATAAGAGAATAAAGGAACATTTTTCAATCCGAAATATTTGTATCCGTTCTTTTCCACAAACATTTACCACCTAACCACAGACATCAATTAGCAGCCTTCGCAATTTACACATGTTTTCAGTGTCTTACAGCACAGACATCCAATATCAACAGCAATCTACAAATCTTATTGGCTGTACCAAGGTGTAACACTGTCGTTGTTTTAATACATTTCTAAATAACCCTTTCCACAGGAGCTATTTTCCCCTTTTTTTTTTCATCAGGGATTACTAGTTCCATATTCTTAGATCAATTCATGATCGTACTGTACAAATAAAAAGATACTTACATATTCCCCGCCACCAATGAAAACATCTCGAACACTTTCTCTGATGGTCATGCCGCTCTTGACATCAATGTCAGGAGTGGGAAGGCGTAACTTTGTGGGGCGTTCACTGTCCCTAACCTCCTCCGGATCCAAAGGACAGTCAGCCGATACATAGTCTCCAAGAACTGAGACAGTTCCAGGAAAACGATCTCCCATCATTTCGTAAGGTTTGGCAGGAAACACATATAGGTGAACAACAGAGGCAATGCCCATCTGTAGAGGGTGAAAACGCAGAACTGTCAAACTAAATATGTTGCATAAAGATGGTAAACTGAAAAAATCTTTTGTCATGTAACCAATTTAACATTATTGAGAAATGCAAGACAAAGTATACAGAATACTAGTAGCAGAATAAAATGAAAACTGGAGGAGAAAAAAACTATTAGTCATGATTTTGATTTTATCGACTGACAAACCCTTCCTAGATGTACAAATAAATTTCCACCAACACCTTCAGACGAGGAGTAATTATCTCTCAAGACCATCAACTCATACAGTTCAAGTAGGAATAAACTATCATTCAAAACACTACGATTCAAAATGTCAATTGAAAAGTCACAATAAGAAACTGTGTTACCCAATGAAATGTTCTACCTCTATACAAATGATGAAGTCTTGAACACTTGACTTAAACTGCAATCCTTGAGCTATAGGGCTTTTGAACAAACCCAAGGCATAGAGAAGAGCAATTGCCACACCTTGCCACCATGTCAAAAACACAATTGATTTAAATGTCAAAAACTTGGCTAATGGTTTTATGCGAGCTAGTTCATCTTTTGTAACAGTGTAAAACTGAACGAGACAGTACAAAGCCCATGACTGACTAAAATTTAGAACCACTGCAATATAAGGATACCTGCAAGCACAAGAAAATTATGACCATGAGAGTCCTTTATGAGTTAAACGTCCTTAAGTAATATTTTTACAATTCTTTTGTAGGACAATGAGATACGTAGGGCATCAACTAAATAGAAGGAAAATTGGCAAGTCAAAATATCAAAAGCACTTAAAACAGAAGGCATTCTTATTTGAGAAAGTAATTGGTGAAATCCAACAAGCTATGATACCATAGCATAAGTCAAAGGTTCTAAGAAAAAGGCTATGGCTACGGAAACTGAGGTCTTGACAGGTCTCTCCTGCTTGTTTTTGAAATACATAATTTAAAGAACTAAAGCAGGATGACATGACCATTTTGCGTCCCTATCAATTGACAAACCCGTCCACACAGTAACAGGCCAAAGAAATGAGCTAAAATATGTTAGCCACCATCCACAGTGAGTTTAGCAAGATTTTAGAGGTTATTTCGAAATGCAGGATTCCTGAAGATTCATTTCTAGGTATACAACTATAACCAAAACTTACAAGTCCCCAAGGAGCAACTTCACATGTGTATGAACATAATCAGTACGAGTAACAAGCAAGAGTTCCATGTGAAATTCAAGAAGTGATAGTTTAAAGAGCTTCTTAAGGAGGCAAAAAAAAAAAAAAAACTTATCCTATCAAATATATTACATCATAATTTCAAATTACAAATGCTTTTCCTA